TTCCCCAAGCTAAACTCGTATCAAGCCTCAAGACCGAGTGATTCCACATCGAGAACACACATTGGCACATGAGCAGCAGAAGCAATTTGTGCATTGTCATTTCAACACCTTCTCCACACATTGGGCAAATCTGATCATCATACTAGCCACAAATTTGTTCCAAACGCCTTTGAACCTGCAACCACCAGAGAGGATATAAGTCAAAATCAAAATACTACGTAAGAAAAGCTGAACAAGTAGGACCATCTTACAAAAACCAAAGAAATGAACCCATAAATTTGTTGTGGGCTTAAGAAAGAAAGAGAGGATCTGCAAAGATACTAGTCTTAAGCAGAAAAATCTCCAGCACAGTTTTCAATCATACTGTGGCAACTGTGCTGTGCAACATAAAATTAACTCAGGACACAAGTTAACTAAAATGCCTACGCCCTGCGGCTTTGTAACCAAGGACTAGGACATTAGTTAAGTCTTCATCAATTCCATTTTTAACTAATACCCTCCATTCTCAACCATTAGCCACTGGATCCTCAATTTCCCCAAGGCATCATGATTCTGCAGCCACAGCCCTAGCAAATGAAGAAACTACAACACACACAGAACAGCTATCTAGCTAAATTCTGCAGAGGGGTTGAGACTTGAGAAGCTGAGAGCAAAGAGGTTTCAAAGCACATATGAAGCACTCTTTGTACTCTTCAAGCAAGAAATGAGGTAGCCATAGAATGTTCATGTAGAAGAAAAGAGAAATGGTTAACCATAAGGACCTAACACCTAACTAGACCGATTCCGGACTCTGAACTTTCAGCTAATCATGAAATAACATATTCTACACATTGACCTCTTTATACAGATTAGAATCTAGCAGTATTAGCTTATAGAATCCCTCATCAAATGATATTAATAAACAAGACGGACAAAATTATACCTTCTCTCCTTTTCTACCAAAAGTAACGCAGTGTGGATTCCCCATGCTCACACAGGTGACATGCTCTAGGTTTCTCCGTCAACCACTAGATTTGATTTAACAGCAGAAGATTCCTTGTTTGCAAGCAGTTTTGTAGGTACATCAGCTGCTCTAAGCACTGGTTCACCCATATCAACTTTAACCTGACACACATAAAACAATGTTGTAAAATGGATAAGGTACCAGCATATAATCAGAAACATAGACTTTTGTCTTTACAAAGTTATCCAATAATTATATACATATCTTGCAGCAACTCTTCCTGCCATATTGATCACAAGTATATGACTCAAGTATAAACCTGCATACAGACAATGTCAGCTCAAATTTGAGAAATGTATCATATCAATTTAACATCATAACTCAAGAATTTTGACAATGGTGCAACAAAATGAGTTAAATCTTGCACATGTGTGTGTATTTGGTAAAAACCTACTTAAATCTTTCAGATTGCAAGTTCTGCTAGCATACATTTACTATAAAGCAATCAAGCATCAAAGGCTCTAATTCATCAAATGGACATCTAATTCATTCACAAATAACACATAACATATAAATAGTGGTCTTACAACAAATTTAAACAGGATAATGCAACAGTGATCTGAAAATTAAGGGTCATAGAAGACTTCATGTTATACCTCAAGAAACTGCACACAAGTGTTGCAAGATGAGTTAAATCTTGCATATGTTGACATATGTGTGTGTGTAAAAACCTAGTTAAATCTTAAAGACTGCAAGTTATGTAAACATGTAACTTTATATTTCAAGCAATTTGGCATCAAAGCCATCAGGCAATCATTCAAAGCATTCACAAGCACTGCATAACACACAGACAGTAGCCATAACATAGAAAGAACCACTGTAGATTTCATTTTATACCACAAGGAAATAGTGCAATTATCGAAGGAGAGAGAAACCCTAGGTTTTCTTGAGGACGAAATGGAAGAAATGAAAGAAAAATGTTGGAATAAAAGTTTTAATATTATTTTTTTTATTAATATTTGCAGCGCCCAAACTGGGAATGTTGCAATTAATATCCTTTTGCAGCGTTCTCAAACAAGGCATGTTGCATGAAATTGTTCTTATTGCAACGTGCTTCACCTTGGCAAGCTGCAAATAAATCTCAAAAAAAATCCGCCGAGTATTTGCAGCGTTTTAAAATTAAATACGCTGCTATTAATCCATCAAGTAGTTGACCCGCGTTGACTAAACTTTATTTGCAGCGTTCGGTACATGGGTGTGCTGCAAATGACATTTTTTTTCCACTAGTGTCAAGTTAATCCTAAACCTGTTTAATCTACGTTGGTTGATTATTAGTGCACAATCAAATCTAATATTGATGATCACTTGAATTAAAATCATATTAAGCCTAAATCAAATTATTAATTATCTTATTATGCATGATTTCAAGAACAAATTCCCTTTAAACCTGCAAAAAGGGGCGTGATCAAGCAATAACAATAAATCATGAATAATCAAGCAACATATATTTAATTGACACAACAATCATCATCGTAATAATATCATCAAAACATCATTAATAAGATCCTAGGCATGATACTAAACAGATTAATAACAAACTCTAGCATGTCACTAATAAAAATCAAAGCATTATCCTAAACATGATACTATCAATCAAAATCAATATCCTAACATGATACTATAAATTATAATAACATCCTAACATGATTTTTATTCCAAAACCAAGGATTAGGTAATTGAATAACTTACGTTGATGTTCCTCCCTTTTTGCTATTAAAACAATAAACATGTTAGTAACTTCAAGAAAGATTAAATCAACAAAGTAAATAAATCAAATATGAATTGAAATATAAATATGGGATCAAACCCTCAGAACTATCAACATTTCCCGTCGAGGTCGAAGGCAACGTCGAGGAGGGCAAGGAGTATTCGAATCTCGCAAAGGAGGTATGGTATTTGATTGGGGGAAAGTATCAAGGATGTGTGAGATATTAAGAGAGAGAGAGAGAGAGAGAGTATTAGAAAGGGTATTGATGATGATTGTTGGTGATTGAAAACGGGGTAAAAGACCTCTATTTATAAGGAAAAAAGAGAGTCGAAGCATCTGAAAAAAATTAGAATTTGGAACGGAATGGAGTCCATCGCGACGCTATGGTCCTGTCACTCTGCGATGGTTTTTTTTTTCCAATCGGATTGGGTTAATTAAATATCCATACGTATTCTATTTTGACCGGGATTAGGATTATCAAAAAAGAGATGTTTTATTCAATATCAAATTCTTTAATCCTTATCATTCGGGGAAAGGATAAATTAGAATCTTTTAAAGGATTCTAGAAGCTCGTAATAAATCCTAATTGGTTTAGGATTGAGATTAAGGTATTTAAACCCTCCACATGATCATTGGGTTGCAATTAAAACTGGTTATAAATAGCAATAGACAGCGGTAACCGCTGTAGATGAAAGCGCTGTTATAAATGGGGCACCATTTAACAATGCTTTTTTTCCAACCGTTATTAAATGTACATTTTTTATATTAGATAATTTTATTTACGATTAATATTTAGCATGCAAAAAGATAGGTACATATATAGTTTCATAGCCTATGTAGGATTCGAACCTACATCAATGTGCAATCGCACGTAGCTCTACCAATTGAGCTAATAGGCTTTACGGTTAGAAATAAACCTATAAATTCAATATATATATATATATATTATATATAGAAATGGGATCATGTGAGAACCCACCCCTTAGGTGAGAACCCTCTTAAAATAAGAACCAATCTTACACCATCAATTTTGAGACTATGGATGACTGAGATTAATTATCACTTTCTCATGCATTTTCTTGGGAACACGCATTTCAATCATTGGTACATGCTTTTTAATTTTCTTGGGAACACGCATTTCAGTCATTGGTACATTTCACACATATGGTATGGAACAATATATAATATTTATGGGACAATAGTTCATATTTCTGGAACAATGTAAATACTATTTGACAATAGTCTATTGTTTCATATAATTTTGAGATGTTTTAAAAGATATTATTGTTTCAAAAAGACTTGTCGCTGTTTCAATTAAAAAATGTAATGTTACATTGAATTGTGTTGTCAGCGTTATGTTAAAATGTAGTTGGTGTACGTTAATGATGTTTCATAAAATATATTAAGTGTTTCAATTTATAATATTAATGTTTCATATATATTATTGCTTGTTTTATATAGTTGGGCTCTATATGAACTAGGTTTATTGTGATTTCTTATACCTTATTGATGTTTCAAAAAACATACCTTATGTTTCATTTTATACTACTTATGTTCCATATAATATATGTATTGTTTCATATACTAATGATATTGTTTTATACATAAAAATCATTGATGTTTCATATAATATTTCATTCGAATATTAGTTATATTGTTCCAGAAATATGAACTATTGTCTCATAAATATTATACATTGTTCATACATAAGAATTAGCGTTCCAATTATATGATATGTCATAGTTCTCGAATTTTAATTATGTTGTTCCATAAATTTGAAATAATGTACCACACATATGGTCTATTGTTCCATAGCCATGAACTAGTGTTCCAATTGGATAATATGCTAATTATTGTCAAATAGTATTTACATTGTTCCAGAAATATGAACTATTGTCCCATAAATATTATATATTGTTCCATACAATATGTGTGAAATATACCAATGACTGAAATACGTGTTCCCAAGAAAATTAAAAAGCATATATCAATGACTAAAATGCGTGTTCTCAAGAAAATGCATGGAAAAGTGATAATTAATCTCAGTCATCCATAATCTCAAGATTGATGGTGTAAGATTGGTTCTTATTTTAAGATGGTTCTCATATAAGTCTTGATTCTCACATGATCCCTCATATATATATATATATATATATATATATATATATATATATATATATATATATATATATATATATATATATATATATATAACATGAATGTATTTCATTTCGATTAAAATGATATGGAAAATAATTTATGCAAATTATAAAAAATAATTTCCTAGCATTAAAACATGGGGAAAATTATAATGTAATAAAGTACTCTGTAGTATGTAAGACATTGTTTACAAAAAAAGTACTACCTCCGTTTTTTTTATGTGCAACTTTGAGGAATATTTGTGAGACATAAAATATTTCAAAGTTGCACATAAAAAAAACGGAAGTATATACTAAAGAGTACTAACACCGTACTACTTCTTTGTTACCCATATAATACTTCAACAAGAAAAAAATCATCTAAGCTAAACAACAATCATTTCAATTTTTTTTGGCACTTCTTATAATTGAAAAATTCTACAGTAAAAAAATTAAAATTATTTTGTTTTAATATTAGTTGAATAAAATCTGTAACTCTTCTTACCCTTTAAACTGTTTAAAGAGGTGTTCCGTCGGCCATTGAGTTGCTCCAATGCCTATAACATAAAATTAAGATAAATCAAATAAAGATATTATTTAAGGTTCATACTAACATTGAAATAATTTACAACATAAAAAAAAGGAGAAAATAAGACATTCAGAGATGATACCTTAGTTGTTGACTTGTTGATGAGGAAAAAATTACAGCCCGTTGGGAAATAGGAAAGCAAACTTGAAATTGGAAAGTGAGATAAATTCAAACTGAAAGAAAAAAAATCATGTAGGGCAACAAATATAAATTAAAAGTTAAAATAAAGAGAAATTATTCAGAAAATAGAACAATTAAAATCAAAATTCAATCGAAACCATCAAGATCGATTAATTTACAAAGTAAAACCAAATCGATATTACAAAATTAAATCAAATTGAATTGCAAACTGAAATCAAATGAAAACAATATATAATTGAAACTGGGAAGCAAAAGTTAAAGTGCAACCCACCATTCTCATAGCAATCGCGAGCAAAATAGCGGTTATATAGAGGGATTTTGATTGAGAAAATTAAAAATCAATAGAAATCTTACCTCTGATTAGCTAACCTTTTAGATGAACAAGAAATTGAGAAAAAATTAGTATGCTTTTCTCTATGTTTAGATAGAGAATTATAGAAAGGATAAATGAAGTTAATAAAAAAAAATGTTTTCAGAAATGAGGGTTTGGGTAATTAAGAGTTTGTGGTTATTTTCTTTTCATCTTTATCCTTTTTTCATTGAAAGAAGTTGAACTTGTAATTTATTGGAGACGTGGGTTGCGTAGCGGTCAAATATACCCCTTATAACAATGGTTTATTGACGTGGATTGCTAAATATCGCCCGCAAATCTCCACATAAAACCTACAAAATTCACTTGATTTGACAATATTACCTTTAACATAAAAAATAAAAAAAACACACTCACACTCTCATCACCAAACACTCATCATCTTTCTACATCTCTCTTAAAAAAAAAAATTCAAACTACAGCAATATGAAGGCGGCAAGGCAAAGAATTGGCGGCAGCTGCGGCGGAGGGAAGAGGGCTCACGGTGGCAAGGTATTTTTGTTTTCTTTAATTTTTTTTAAAAAAAAAAACTGTCGTTATAGGCGGGGCGCCTGGCCAGGACGCCCAGCCCCTGGTGGTGGCGCTAGATCCGGCTGCTAAAACGACTGGATTGGCGACTGGGCTGGACGCCCAGCCACGGTTGTCGCGTTTTTGTTAGGCGCCGCTGCCGTGGCTGAGCGTCCAGCCCAGACGCAAGCCCAGTGGTTCTGGCAGCCGGATCTGGCGCCACCACTAGGGGTTGGGCGTCCTGGCCAGGCGCCGCCCTTGTGGTATTTTTTTTTATTTTTTATTTTTATGTATAATATTTTTTTTTTTTTTGGAAAATCAGAAATATTTTTTTTTTATGTCTAATCAGAAATATTTTTTTTTATGTATAATATAATTTTTTGTGTTAATTTTGTTTATGTGTAAATTTATTTTATGTGTTAATGTTTGTGTTAATGTGTAATGTTTAATTTTTTTTATGTCTAATATATTTATTTTTTTTTGAAAATCAGAATTTTTTGTGTTAATGTTTAATTTTTTTTGTTTTAAGTTATAATTTTTTGTGTTAATTTTGTTTATGTGTTAAGTTTTTTTAAGTGTTAATTTTTTTTATGTGTTAATTTTTTATTGTCTAATATATTTTGTTTTTGAAAATCAGAATGTTAATATTTTTTTTAAGGGTTAGTAAATTTGTTTTTATTTTTGTTTTATGTTTATATACTACGATATTTTCTATGTGTTGGTTTTTTATTCTTTAATTTTTTTTAAGTGTTCTGTTAATTTCTTTTTTATGTTCATTTGTTAGTGTTTTTTAGTTTATTTGATTTGGTTTTTCGTAGTTATTTTTCTTAATTTTTGTTTTATGTTTATATATTTTTTAATTTTTTGCAGGTGTCGCAGTTTCGTCCTGGAGCGGGGAAGAATATAGATATTAGAAGTAGAAACTATTCGATGGAGAGGTCGGGGCCCAGACATGTTAGATCCGATCCCGTGGTATTTCGGCCTCGGCTTATAGAGAACGGGTTCACCGTCGAGATGAGGATGAAGACGATGATGGTGAGGAGGAGGAGGAGGAGGAGGGCGCATATGAGGATGTGGACGATGGGAGTGGACCATATGATGATTACGGTCCATTCAGTCAGAGGCTTGATGACATGTACGAGACGCATATGGTAGAGGTGCGTAAGGGTAGAGATGGTAGGTTTGTTAGTAGATCTGGCACATCATCTGCGTCCACTGTGTCTAGGGTAAGCAGAAAACAGTTGAGGGTCGTTAATGATTCTTGGGTTGTTAGGGGTAAGGTGCCCAGGGGGCCTGTAGACGGGAGTGTGATTCCTAGCTTTCTAGGACACATAGCTACCTATATCTGGGAGGACCAGGAGAGGGCTTTGCTGATGGGCTTGTTCAAATGCCAAACCCGGGAAAAGACTTGTAACTTTTTGAGAACATGGGCTGAGGCTTGGCCGGTGGAGAGCGAGATGTTCGAGCGACTGCAGGGCACTGGGGTGAATCACCTTCCTGCCACCATGCACGATCGGATTGACTCTACGTCGATCACGGCTTTCGTTTAGCGATGGCAGCCGGATACGAATTCTTTCCACCTTCCGTTCGGTGAGATGACGATCATGTTGCATGACGTCGAGGCCATTCTTGGGATTCGCGCAGAGGGTAAACGACTATCTATTGTGACTGATGCGGATCAGGCAGATTTGCTAGCGGAGCTGTTAGCAATGGACAGGGCTGCGCTGTACACCAGGGCGCTTGGTGTTTGGGATCACGGTGGTGTGAAGATCGCATCCGTGTTGCAGCGTTGTTTGCACCCCAGTGCACGTAGGACGCACGACGCACAACTGGCTGCTTATGTTTTTCTTCTCCTCGGGTGTACCTTATTTCCGGATAAGAGCGGAAACAAGCTCAGGCCACGCAACATAGTTGATGCGTGTGAGCCCGACAGAGTAGGCCAGTTTTCTTGGGGTCGGCTACGTTGGCGTATTTGTATCGCCAACTAGGATTTTCGAGTCGGACTGACGCGGCAGGTATCACTGGATGTCTGACTTTATTGTAGACCTGGATATACGAGTATTTTCCTGCATTGCAACCACACCATGACCCGGTTCCAATTGATGATTGGATGCCGCGTGCATGTGCGTGGAGTCCGCGGTTGGAGAAGAAGTCCGTTACCCGCCTCCGATCGATATGGTTATTGCTTGACAGGATGTCCCCCTTAGAGGTAAAGTGTATAAATTATTTCTAAATTTGTACTGTAATGCATCTATTATATGTATCTTACTAATTTGAAAAATTATGTGCAGGTGAACTGGATGTCTTTCGGCCCGAACCCTAGTAACAGGGTACCCAGGACCCTCTACACGGGACTCATTCAGTATCGTGAGATCGTAGAGGCGTACATGCCCCAGCGCTGTCTTCGCCAGCTTGGATTCGTCCAAGTTGTCCCTCCTCCACCAGCATGGCCGAGTAAGGCGGTCCGATCTGCATCGTCGAAGGAGTACGTCGTCCAATGGCCGGATAGCATGATTGCCACGTGGGAGCAGTTTCCGATGGTTTCTCGTTTATGGACTGCGGAGTTGCAGAGGCCGCCAACTGGGGTGCCTCCCATGTATGACCACTACTACATGGAATGGTACAACCGGTATTCGCACCCGAGGTTGATTGGAGACCTCGACCATGGCGACCACACCGATGCTCATGATATGCCACCGCCCACTGCCGTGGAAGCGGTATGTCTCATAAAACATTTATTGTTGTGTTTTTTTTAAGTGTTATATATCGTTATTGAATTTCATTTTTTTTTTTGTGTGTAGTGGATGGGAAAGATAATGCAAGGCGTACAAAAACTCTCTCTGGAGAGGGACAACATGAGTGCAGCAGGGAGAGTTGTTGTTGATGAGTTGGAACAGACCCTTGCGCATTGGGAGTCGGCGTCTAAGAAGGATTAGTGATCTTTTTGGCAGTTTATTTGTAGAACATTTTTTACATTATAATATTAGTTTGTGAAATAGGACATTATCTTTGCACTTTGCAGAATTTAAAATTATCGTTTTAGTTTTTAACATTTGACATTGTCGTTTCAGTTTTTAACATTTGACATTATCTTTTTACTTTGTAACGCGCAAAGTATGCATGCAAGATATAAATGTAGTCAACAATACAATACAAGGATAATAAGTAATGCAAAAATAAGGTTACATAGAAATAGTGTACCCATGAAAAACTAAAAAGCAGCTAGGGTGTTCCATTGATGGATCCGGTCATGATACAGCGCATCCCAACCTTCTACGCTTGCTATGCGAATGGCGTACCACCGAGGTATGATCGGTGGCACAGGAAAATCGGATGACAGGTCCAGTCAGATGAAATGTTTGTATGACGATCCAAGAAATGCAATAGCTAACTCTTTGACCGGTGTAGTGACAGTCTCACGCAATCCCAGCTCGAAATGCATTACTGCACACTTGTAAATGTTTGCAACGGCAAAGAGATGTAGTGGCGCGTCGAAATAGTGATTTTGACGGGCCGCAAGGTCCTCCTCCCCACCGGATACGCCGCAGAGCACTATCCAAGCCGTCCTAGTACACATGACGATAAACATCTCGGTTAGAGGCAATTTCACCGTACATCAACTGACGCACTAAACCGTAGTTGTCTTCGCCCATCTGAAACACATCAGCCACGACCTGGAATCCGCAGTTGCCATCTCCAACTACATCATTCCACCCGTCCAAGTATGACATGATGATGTTAGGTATCCTATCCTTGTATGGAAACTGATTAATATCAAATCTTCCTGTTGAACATATCATTAAACACAGTGAACAAGTCAGCAGTACACTCAAAACCATTATAAAACGTAAATTAAAGTAAGTTATTGTACCAGTGCCGGACATATTCACAGACGAAGAAGACTGGCTACGACTGGATGACGATGTACGACCACGACCACGACCACGACCACGACCACGAATGTACTCAAACGTACTCCTGTTCCGCCGTTGGCGACCTTTAGGTCGCTCGACCCCTTTAGGTTCTTCGTGATCTAAGCAAGACATGTTGAACATGTCATGAAGTACGTGAGTAGCATCACGAATAATAGAAGGATGACTGGAGGACACTCGGTCATACATCGAACGAAACTGCTCCAACTCCTCCTGTTCATGGTCGACCGTCTGTGTATCTGCATGCTCACCAATAACGAGCGTCCGCCAGAATGGATGAACCTGATCAACATGTAACGAAGTCCTATCTTGGGTAATTACGCGGTGAATGGTGCATACGTAAGGTAATCCATGAGTTACTGATATAGCACATCCACACCAAACATCCAATTCATCAGCCAACTCCCTCATCCTGTTATGCTCAGCCAGAATCAACCCCAAGCAGTAGTGTGACACATAACCATGGAGAATCTTAAATATGAAATGGCCATACATCATACCATGTCGCCGCCTAGAGTCCTCGAGAGAGTTCTTGATGCCGTTCTTCTGAGTTTCAATTTCCTTGTTTATTCTCTCGAACAGTGTATCCAGAGCAGCGGTGGAAGAATCAGTCCACTCCTTCGTAGCTCTATAAGCGCTCTCAACTCTACATGTTGTAGTGTTTCCAAAATGAAGTACTTGGTTTGTCCAATATTTGACAAACTTTTCCCTGTGAGGTACCCATTGTTGCATCACATAGTTTACCACTGCCGGACACCATTGGTACGAATCCCAGAAGTTAGCCAAGGCTCGATCGTACTCTGCCTCTGTGGTAGCTTGCAGGATCTTCCGCCATTTACCATTTACCAATCTCTCTACACTTTCCAAATTCTTGTTGAAAAGGTTGTAGGCTTTCACTTTCACACAGTTGTTGATGTGCCATGAGCACATAAGTGCTTCGATTCTGGAAACAGCTCTGCTATGGGGGCAAAGGGACCTCCCTCACAATCACTGACGATGGCTGATGGCTGAACGTTAGGGCCGATGTAGTTTCTCAGCTTCTCCAAAACCCAATGATAACTCGCAGCTGTCTCATCCTTGATGACTGGATGACCAATCAGAAAGTTCTGGTTCGTTGGAGTCATCCCAATCATCTCAACCAGTGGGAACCTGTACTTGTTTGTCTTGTACGTTGAATCGATCAAAATCACAGATGGCCAAGACTTGATCATATCAGCACAATCAGGGTGCACAGGGAATAGATGAGTCACCTCCGCTGTATCTTCATCAGAATCAAACCAGAACAGGTAACCACGTGCTTGTGCCTGGTGTAGAAGCTGCTGTACAGGGTTCCTTCCCTCTGACCGTTCAAACCTCAGTTTCTGTCTGACGTTGTAGATGTGTCTTCGGTTTGGCTGGTCTTCAGGAAATTTCTCTAGCACAGATGCTAATATTTTAGCAGGCTTCACTTGAGCATCACTTATTTCTTTGACAACCAGTTTTGCACCAAGACTTAAGCCGCTCAGCTGTCGATGACCCACTTCATATACTATCATCTTGGTTGTGATACCCCCATTTAGAGTAACCCTTCACTTCCCAACCGTCAATACTTACTAGTTGCCGAACCTTTATTCTGAACTCACACCCACAACCTTTCCGTTTTGTATCAAACCGAGTGGCTGTACTGAAATCTCTTTCTTCTCTTTTGCAATAACGGTCGCATCTCAAAATGCGATCCATTCTACCATCCCGTTGAGATTTATGAGTTGCTACTACCAAGCAAAAACTAGAAGTAATTGCAACCTGTTTAGCCTAATCAATCGCTTGTTGAGCATCTTCTACACCAGGCGATGTACATGGTGATTTATATAGTAATTTGTGGGCGATGTTTAACAAATCCCTTATTGACAAACGTTGCTGAATTTCTTTATAATTTCTAAAAAATTTATTCACAACGGTTCCTTCTTAGACCGTTGTAACTTGAATCGTTGGATTTTGTAAGTTTTGTAGTAGTGGATGGACCTAAATTCAGTTTGGGCTTGATTTAGTATTTTGGCCATAACTTTCGTTTTAAGTCGGATTTGGGTTTATAATATATCGTTGAAAAACTCTTTTCAAGCCCCATCCAGCTAAACAATAATTGGACCAGGACTATGGACCAAAATAATCTGGTTTGGACGTTTTTATGGATTGGCCACGAAATGAATGATTTTAAGGACACGAAATGAATTATTTTGGGTTTAAAGGCACAAAATAATGGTTTTGGATTAAACATATTAGGAAAGGTTTAGGAATAAGGTCGAGGTAAAAGGGAAACTTCACGAGACTCTTCAACTCTTCACCGAACTCGATAATTAAAGACGTGAAAGATACTCATCACTGGGTTTGGTTTTGGGGAGACACAATCAGGTGTCTACAATAGGGTTTTTGTAATTTTTTTTTAATTAAGCTATCAATTAAGCATAATATGTGAATTTTCATTGGATTAAGCTATCAACGAATTCTAGCGTAGAATAATTGTAAATTGTTTCTTTTCGGTTCGCCTCCTTCAGTGATCCCTCCCTTTTCCTTCATTGTTCGAATTTCTTGTCAATTTTGCAAAGTAAAGGATTCATTACAGAGCAGAAGATTCGTGACGCCAATTTGTAGAGTGTTCTTTAATGGAGGTTGAAGGTTAAAGGGTTAAAGTGAAATTATGAGAGAGAAAGAAAGAAAGGGGTTTTAATTTAGCTGGTGTAACCATGGGTTAGAGGGATTTTATTTATTTATTTATTTTTTTGTCATTTAAATGCTTAACTAATGATTACACGTGGCCACGTGAGTTAAGGGAGAGGTGACGTCATAAATGGTCTTAAGCTGAGTCTGGTAGTAAAATCAAATTCACAAGTTTTTAATTCGTGTAGCAATTTTCAAAATGACATTAATACGTGTTAGTAATTAGCAAATTTTCCTTCTTTAAAAAACAGAGGAAGTAAATTAAATTTATTAAACTCTCCAAACTCCAACAAACCCTAATCACTTCTCAGTCTTCTTACCTATCTTACAGTTTCTTCCTTAAAACCCCTAGTTGAGTACAATTTTACACAACCTAAAACCCAAAAAATGAGGAACAGAGATGACTACAGATTTCTCAGATTGGCTGACGCCATGACTGCTTTGAATCAGAAAGTTAACCTAATCGGCATTATTGCCGAGTATGGTACTCCTACTCGAAGCAGAGGAACAGGTATATTCCATTCTTCAATTTATTCATATACATGCATTTTTTTGTAGAAAGATTAAATTTTTTTGGTTGGTTTTTGCTTTAATTGTATTTTGAAATTACCCAAATGATTTATTCTGGCTATGATGAATAAAAGGCCGGACTTACGGCTGCCCCCTGAAAAGGGTTTGGTAGTAGATTGATGATTAAGTCTGAGTATAGGTTTTCCTGAGCCAGTTTTTCTGCATTTTTTGATGTTGGGTTTTTAAAATTTTTGAATTTTTGGCTAGTATTTTGATATGGTTGTTTAACATTTTAATTGGACATGCTCTTCTTTTTAATAACCCCTTAAACGTGCAAAAGTTTCATGTAATAGTCAAATCCGACATTTGGACATGTACTCGTGTTTGATACTGGTGGCTGAGTTTGATTAACTGTGTACATTGTAGGTTGTACAATAGGGTTGGTATTAGTTATTGGTGGTGGACTGGTGGTGTTGATGCTAGCTACCACATTATGTATCACTTTTGTTGGTGATGCTGCCTTTTTTTGGGAAGGAGGAGGGGATGTTTATGTGAAGTTGGTAGTATTATGATCACAAATTCACAATTTTGTGCCTTGGGAAATGCACTTCATTTTGGAGTAAAAAACATGTAAATGTTTCATATATGGCCGAGTCCAACATTTGGACATCGTGTTTGACACTAGTAACCGGATTTGAGTAACATATCCCACTTTACAATAGGATTGGATTTAGATGTTGGTGGTGGTGTTGCTGCTTTAGGCTGCATTGTATCTCATCTGATGTTGATGCTAGGCTGATTTTAAAGTTAAAAGTGTCTTTTAGCTGTGGTTATTGTACAATATTTGTCTTCCTATGAGAATCAAATCTAGAATTAGGATGCACATCTTGGTCCTGGAAGAAGATGTTATTAAAGAACTTTGATTACAAACTATATGTTAAATGGTTTCTGTTTTCCTTTGACATAGGTTTTAGGCGAATGAGTAATGCTTTTGATGCTTGACACACGTTTAACAATGTTGGCATTACTAAATATATATGGGTCAACTTATCGACACTCTTATGAGGTTCTTGTATAGTATTTCAGAACTAGTCTTTAACTAAGCTATTATTGGTGTATTGGATAAGGCTGCATACCTCTTAGCACTAGCAACAAGAGCATCCATGGTTGCAATTGTTGCTGCTCCGCTGGGGCTTTTGATATCCTATTCTTATGTCTAAGATCTGGATGATACTAGTTAATATTTGTACTTCTATTAGTCATCTCCCCTGTTACCCCCTCAATTTTTTTAATTTTTTTTTTTTGTTTTTAAGTTTATATGTGCTGTTTTCAGTGTGAATTAACTTTGACGGCTGACATGATTTCCTTGAAAAATTTGGCAATGAGGAGTAAAAGGCCGGACTTACGGCTGCCCTCAACTATGAGCTGGTAGTAGGTTGATGATAAATTCCAAGTAAAGGTTACTCTGAGCCTAGCTTGTATGAAAATATCTGTTCAATTTTTCTACATCACCACTCGCATGTTTATAAGAATTTGCTACTTTCTGCGTTATTTTAGCATGTAATTATTATTTTCCAGAATGTGATTGCATATATACTCTTGTTTTTTAACAGATTGGTTTTGTTCATTGAGAATTGTGGATGAGTCACATAATGTCCGTGGACTTTTAGTTAATATCTTTGCTGAAACTCAAGAGAAGCTTCCTCAGGTTAAGGCATCGGGAGATATCATCCAACTTTCCCAAGTTTTGGTACCTCAACTTGCAGACTCTTTCTCCATGGAGCTTCTATTTCGACTCATTTCGTTTTCTGGTGACTGTAGTCTCTATTTATAAAACATCTACCGTTATTGTGATGAAGTAAATTTGGTCAGATTTACAATGTGCTCTTAGTAATTGACTGTGTCTCTTTTTTTTTTTTTCTTTTTTTCCCTTTCCCATTTTCGTGTACATTTTTAACCTTGTAAAGGTGGAAAGATCTCCTTGTTTTACTTCAATTTGATTGGACTTAAGAAATACTTTGTCACTATATTTATTAATCAAGGTGGTGTCAGGAAGCTCAATTTTTATTGTCATCATTTTGTTTAAATATATTTTGGAACTGTATAATCTTAAAAATTTTGTTTCTTATTCACATTTTCTTGACTGATGAAGAGCTTCACCCTTTATCTACCTTGTCTTAGCTTATGTCTCAATAGCAACCCAGTTAATTAAGAAACACCAAGTGAGTTGTAAATTGATTTTCCCAGTTAAATTTGCCATTTTTCACTTTTTTTTTTCCCTGTTTTTCCTTATCTCTCGTTTTGTCTTCCTTTTCCTTTTCGGTTTCTTTTACTATGTGTTGACTGTTTTCTTAAGCTGTTAATACCCTAAATTATGTTATGCATATTTTTGCAGATGAAAACTCATAATAAGGAAACCTATGCCCTTTTCAACAAAAAATTCTCTTCATTTGCGCTCTACGAAGGGAAAAATGGTGAAAACTATAATCCCTATCAAGTCTCATCTATGTTTCGGCCAAGAAACCAAGACACGACGTTTGTGGATGGATTAAGAAAATGGGTAGACAGTTTCCAGCTTGATTCAGGTAGAGTTCTGGCAATCTAGCTACTGTTAAGTACCAATAGGCCACTTTTTGGTTGAATGTTGCAATTTTATTGTTTTTCTCTTAAATGTTTAGCTCCGCTATCTGTCTCAAACTGATTTTTTGAAATCACATAAGTATATATGACCCCCTTGTATGTAAGAGTTGACCAGACTATGTTTATTAAGTTGCAAAGAATTTCGTTTTAGAGATTTATTATTGTAAATGTATTTTTCTTGAGATAAATGGAAGAGTAATTATTACTGTTAGTGATTTCAATTTTTTTATGTGATCGAGACAATTTTTAAGGCTTCCATGATCAATGTTTTTGTTAGGGTTTCTTTCCCATTTCTCAAAATAATTTGTCCTTGTATAAGTTAGTCTATAATCTGCTACCTTTTTTGTTCACTTCCTTTATCCCCTTTGATACAAAGATTCCTTGGCCGTGTTATCCTATTACTAAAACACTCCAAATTGCCACTATTTTGCTCCTTTTTTAGATCTTCTAAGACAAATGAATATGTAATAAATATAATACTTCCTCCGTTTTTTTAATTGCACCATTTTTCTTTTTGGGAAGTTGCTTATTAATTGCACCATTCCCATTTATGGTATGCTTTCATTAACTTTTGGCATGTCTGCACACACCAAATACCCATTTTACCCTTTTAGACATTTGATAATAATTATTACCCCACTTTTCTTCTCATTTGTTTGTAGTTACATGGGGATTTTTGGGATCGCCCACCTTTAACTTCCTTTCTTAAATCTTGTGCCCAAAGCAAATGCTGCAATTTGAAAAAAGAAAAAAAAAAAAACGGAGGAAGTATGACACAAGATTATTCATACAAGTTGTCATTTTCAACCAAAGAAATCAGGATTACTCTGGCTATTCACAAGAGAATTTGCTGGCTGTCTTTTCCTATATATAAAGATGTTGTAAATGGCAAGTACTTACTGTATTTACTAGGCTGATGCCATGTTCAGTTAGTTCTTCTCCTAGCCATTTCATCTTTATTTGATTCATGTCATCATCTGTTTTGTTAACATTTAGTTATGCAAACTTATGGAACCTACCCCTTTTGTCATGGTTATGATTTTCTTCAGTCAGTTTCTTTTTTCATTTGATCTACTGAATATGGAAGCTGAGTGATTATCTGTAGTTGGTGATTCCTTTCCAGAAGTTAGTACTACTGGTTTTCCCACAATATTAAACCTTGTTATGATTGCTGCAGTATCAGAAGAATCTGTGCTGTTGAGGCAAATTAAGGAAGGACAATGTTATGATCTGGTTTGCAAGGTAACTGTTAAGGTGTTGCTGCTTCCTAAATCATTAAAATTTTGTTTTATTGACCTTGTTGACGAGAAAATTTGTGTAAGACAATTGAATTTATAAAGATGCTCCATTTGAAGTTTGAATGAAAACAGAAATTTTTTTGGAAGGCTTAGGAGTGGTCAGTAGATGGGGAAACTATAGTTACTATTATTTAAGTATATTTTATTATTATTATTATTATTATTTTTTTTTTTTTTTTTTTTTTTTTTATTTTTTATTTTTTATTTTTTTTTTTTGGGGGAGGGGTGGGGGGGGGGGGGTGTAGGTTTGGCCCTTCATTTTTCTAACTGATCAATATATCTATTTAGTAGAGATTCGAGTCATGTAAGCAACACTAACAAACACCATGGATCTCTGGTGACCATTGTTCTTTTACAGGTAACATTAAATTTTGGTGTCAGTGGTTATAGTGTGTCAAGTATTTGATGTTGACAGTTAGAGACTGACATACGATTGTGTTTATTTAGACAATTCTACATATCAATATCTGATGAATCAAATCAGTCCATATAAAGTTTGAAAACTTTTCGATTTTCCAATTTTATTTTTGAAAAGACACCAAGAAAGTAAACAATTTTCATTACTCACCCAATTTTATGCTCATTTTTTCCTAGGGTTTTATGTTAGTTTGAGTTACACATTACAGACAGTTGATGATATTCTTTTTTAAAGTGGGCACTGGACAGGTAAAGACCCCAGGCTCAGGAGTGGTTGTTGTTGTTGTAATCAAAGATTTTGGCATTTGTGCTGTGACACGTAATCAGTAACCAAGTTTAACAAAGATTTATATCCTTTGCTCATTTACTATATTGAATCTTAGAATGATTCTGATTTTATGTCTATGTGACTGTAAAAGAACCATTTTTTTGTTAATACCTGATAAATCCCTTTTTGTTTTATTTTTGCGTGGATGTTTTTTTGGGGAGGGGAGGATAGGTTCTGCACGTGTCTCAAGTTGATCAAGAGGAGTGGATGCTGTTTGTTTGGGATGGAAGTGATGCTCCCATACCTCAACTTCTATCTAAGTAAGTGTGCACAAGTCACAAGCTCCTTAAAGTTTAGCAGGGGATCAAATCAAGGATCTGTGGAAGACCCACAAATATTTCAACAACTTAAATGAGAACCTTTATTAATTATTATTAACTGAAGGTGTTATACCTTTGCTTCTTCAGAAGCTCTTTTGAATGCATTAACTATCTTTTTTCATTGGTTATAAAAATTGAATAAGCAGGGTAGGCTGTATAGTTTATTTTAAGTGTATGCTTTGTTATTGAGATAACAAATTTGAATATGTGCAGGCTACACACAGAAAAGGAAAATCCACTTCCACTGCAATTGGAACCTCAGCCTTTGGCCAGGGAAACCTTGTGTAAATTTCCGACTATAGGAACTATATTGAGAGTTTCTGTTGACCAAAAAAATGTCAAGCTCAATATATCTTCAGTTAGTGCTGGTAGATGGGTAAAATTTATCAACCTAATGTTTAAAGTACATGAAGGTTTGTGGTATGGTGTACTAACTTCATCAACAAAAGTCCGTTTCTTACCAAATGAAGACCTTGTGATATTAGAGAGGCAAAGGTTGGTAATACACATGCTTTCTTTCTTTTGGTGCATGGTTCACTTTGATTTGGTAAATATAATGTATCCGAGATTTGTGGCATTATCTCTTAGTAATCTGCAATATTGCATGGTCTGTGTGATTGTTTTTAACAACAAAAGGCTGTACATATGTTTCATTAGGGATTATGAAAAGAGGTTATCCTCTAAGTTGGACCGGATGCCATTTACAAGCTTTCCTTGGCCGTGTCGTATTACAGGTGTCAAATTGTTCTCTCTTATCTTTATTGTGTTAGTATATGTATAAAGATCTTGATGAATAACTGTTATTTACATCTTCTGTGGGAATGATAATTAGAAGTTGATGATAAAGTTGAAGATGTACCTCTTGTCACCCTAATGGACATTATGACGTATCCACAGGTACTATTTGTCCTACCCCACTTCTTTCCCTGTTTTAAGATCATAATTTGTACGCTTTTATTGCGAACTTATCCGGCATGATAGCAGCTTCTAATTTCTTTTCTTTTCTTTCCCATGTCAAGAGGGGAAGGAGAAGCGTATTTATTGAATTTGAATATGGCTGTTTTCTATTCTTTACCCTCTTTTCCTTCCCAGTTTTGATGTCTTGGATGAGGTTGAGGTGCTTTTACGTAAAATATTAATTCCAGCTCGCCTTCTCTTTTATACTTCTAGAGTTCTGGGGCTTGTATATTAGAATTTTATAGCTGTGAAATGCTATAAAGAGTATTACAATTCCTACTACAAAAGTGATTCCCTCTTAATGACTATTTGTCTTCTACTGAGAAAAGAATCAATCTATCTGAATTTCAGTTGATTGTTGTTGCTACTTCACTTAGTTAAACATTAATGACCCTTGTCCTCATTCCCCTACAACTAGCTGCACTCCTTGGTTGCTGCTGTTTGTGCCTCCTAGAGTACATTCGGATTGGTGGTGCTGGTGGGCTTGGGCCATTTGAGTCTATCACACTCATTTTCAAACAAACAATTTAGTAGGTGATTAATATATGAGATAGAATTGAAAAGGTAATGTGATAACATGAGGAGTAGAGGAGAAATAGAGTATCCTGTCATGTAATTAGTGTGTGGGTACTTGACAGTTGGGGAAAATAGCAGTGGTTTCCAATCTCCAGAAATTATTTTAGTGTAGAGCCATTGGGAATTATCGGTAAGTCTAAGAGGATGATGGCAATGGTTAAGGTTATTGTTTTTTACTTTCAATCTTAAATTTTGGCAGATTGAATAAAAAAAAAAAAAGTGGCATATTGCCACAATAACAGATCTTGTCTTTGCTTTCACGTTATCACTAGCAATTATATTTCATTTGCTCACTTGTACTTTCAAACTGATAATTTGTATGCCTAAAGTAGGAAAGCATTATACTAAGTATATATTTATACCAGTATTGAGGCTAATTAAAGAAGGCCTTGAAATTATCCTTTTTTTGCATGTTTGCCAAATACTTGCCAGATTGTTTGCCTGTTTCTAGCACTGAAGGAACAAATCTCTACCCCTATATTCTTTTCACCCACTCCTAAAATGACAAAGTCTATATAGTATCGCTGACTATATTCAAAGTTGTTTATTAAATTTTCAAACTGTGAAAGCGCTTGGCTTTACTATCTTGTCAATTTGTGTCATATTAAAATGTTTTAGAAGATTCTGCATGTGTGGATAGTATAATAATTTGTTGTGCTTCATTTATTTAGGTGGCCGGAAAATATAAATGTATTGTTCGGGTTGTAGCAGCACTTCCGTGGACAATTGAGGACTTTCGCTCTCCAGATGGAACCTATCGGATCCGGCTTACTTTAGAGGACCCAACTGGAAGAATTCATGCCTATTTATATGCTGAAGATGGGGTATGTGTTCTTTCCCCCATTAATTTATTTATATAGTGGCATTGTGTGAAATCTAAATAAATAAACTATTGAATAGACCTTCATATTCTGGACATACTTGTGGAGTTGTGGCGTTTGGTTCAATTGATTTTGGTATCAGGTATGGTTTTGAAATCATCCAAACCCATTTTTGATGTTTGGCTCAGTACTAAGGGGACCAAACCCCACTCACCCCCCTGGGTGTAGGGAATCTTTACTCCTGAAGTCAGCCATTAAAATAAAATGTTACTCCGATCTCCACGCCCGCCTTCGTCTACCATAGCCTCAGTCTACCCATCCAAATTAATTCACAGATCCAACTCAACTTTCACTGCAACCTCCATCAACCCAGCCAACAAAACTTCTGACAATACCACCAAATTGCCAATATTGTGACAGTGAAAAAAGAAAAGAAAAAGAAAATTAGCCTAAACGTCCACCACTATAACACCCACAGGCCACGATAGCCTAAATCGCCGCTGAAATCACACCACCACAATCATAGCTACCCAAAGTTTTTTTTTTTCTTATAAAAACAATTTTAAAAAGCACCATCAATTTGCGTTTAGATTATTAATGATCAATTTTGGCCCTTAAAGTTCAGACTAAAAGTAATAAAGGGGTTATTTGTAACATGGAATAAGGTAATACCCATGGGTTTGATAACTGATACATCTTTGGTTGAACCAAACAACCTCTACACGTGACTTCATTTCTGATAGAGGGAGTACAAACCAGTCTTGTGATTATATTTCTTGGATATACTATGCTGTGTGTGTGGGGTTTAATATATATATATATATATATATTTTTTTTTTTTTTTTTTTTTTTTTTTTGGTGTGTGGGGTGGGGGGGCTCTGAAGCAAGGAACTTTAATGTTTGGTGGTTTACCAAATCTCACTACGTAGCTCATTTGAGAGAGACATGTGACTTTTTTCTTCGTTGAGAGAGAGCCAGATATGGCAGCATTTAGATCCTTTCATTCTTAAATACTGACAGTCGAGAGGTGAAGTATGCTAATTTTGCTGTTTTTGAATGGCAGGAAGTATTTTTTGAAGGTAATCCGCCAATGGATGCATTGATTCGGAAGTGGAATACATTACTTGGAGTTGCTGAAGTTGATAGTGGTGGTGTAATAGAGAATGCTCCAAGAAATCCTCCATGGGTTCTTTGCTGTATCAAATCATATTATGCTGACAAAAATGATGTCTGGGGAAGTAGGAAGTACCGAATCTTCGATACAAAGCTCGTATGCTGAAGGTGAACCTTCAATTTTGTAGTGTTGCTTTTGTCTACGGGTTCTGACTTATCCTAAGTCCAGCTAATCTGATAATTGTAAATTTTGTACATAGTGTATGTAAAATGGCGAAGCCCACAACATTGGCATCCAAATACATGACAAAATCTGGTGTAAACTAATTTGCGTTGGACTAATGTTCATATGATCATTCCGAAGGTGAATGAAGGATTCCCTCACTTTGATCCACCTGAATGCATTAGTTTTGGTAAAACTGTTATAATATATATACTTCCTTCGTTAACCTTTATTTGCAACAAAGGGGGTTTGCCAGTGGCTTATCCAGGAATTTCGAAGAGTGAGTTCGAAATTGTAAAAAATAAAATGAAAATTTTAAATGAACCCATTTGAACCCAATAAAATGAACCCATTCTGTATACGCCACTGGGGTTTGCGTGCACACCTATGCAAAACTTCTTAAACATGATTATTGAAAGTTATGGACATGTAATTAGCTATTAATCAATTTTTTTTTTATTTTTTTTATTTTTATAAAAAGTAATTACATTAAACCGAAAACGCCCAGAATTGCCACCACACGCCACCCAGAACCACCACCTATGCCACCCAGAACCCACGAACCACCACCCACGACACCCACACATCACCGAAACCACCCATAAACCACCGAAATCCACCTAAGAACCACAAAAACCACCCAAAAAACCACCAGATCTGAAACCCAAAAACCACCCACCCGTGAACCACCAACACCCACGAAATAGCCAGCCACGAAGCACCCACCAACACCAGATCTGAAACCCAAAAACCACCCACCCACGAAGCACCGACTAATCACCAAAACCCTTCGATGAACCACCAAAAGTCGATTAGATGAACCACCCCCAAGAACTACCAAAGTCATCGACGAACTTTAGAAACCCTTCGACTATCACCAAATTAAAACCACCCCCACGAACCACCAAATCACCGACAAACCACCAAATCCCACACACCACCAATACCCCGAACCACCTCGATAACCAAACCCACCTACGAACCACCCCCACAAATCTGCAAATCCACCCACAAGCCACCAAATCCAACCACAAATCAAGCAAACCACCCACTAATAACCAGATCTGAACCCCTCTAGTAGGATGAATTGGAATTTGAAGAGAGATGAGAGATTAAGAAGATGAAATGAAAGATGGAGGAGACAGGAAAAAATGAAATGAGAGATGAAGGAAGAGAGGGAAAGATAATTAATTTAGATTAAGGTTATAATGTTTTGTAATTATGTGTAGTATTATGCGCTAATAATTTTTAAATGAGGGTATTTTGGTCATTTTGACAGAAAAAATTTACTAAAATAGGAAAGAAATAAGTTTGTTGCAAATAATAGTTAGCACCTTTTTTTGGTAAATGTTGCAAATAACTGTTAACGGAGGTAGCATATATATATACTACCCCCGTTTCTAAAAGTTCGACTCACTTACTATTCATGTGGTCAAAATAAAATAACTTTGACCATATATTATGAGCTATACAATATAAATTAATTAGCATGAGAGATCTTATTAGATTCCCCTTACGATATATAATCTAAATATCAACTTTTTATAATTTTTACTTGTACACAACCGGAGTTCATGGTCAAAGATATTCATTGGAGACTGCGCATTTGCAAAGTGAGTCGAACTTTTAGGAACGGAGGGAGTATATAGGATGGCAAAAAATAATAAAAAAAAGTCATGAACCCTATTGTTAAATTTATTTGATCACAAAAATCAAATGTTTTAATAATGATAATGATAATGATAGGAAAATTCTCTTTGGTAACACTTTTTCATTTTTCTCATTGGTGAATTACTAAATAAACTTATCATCTTTGGTAATCTTGTATATTATTGATTACCAAAGATAATACTTATTTTAACTAAAGTTCTTAACTATAGTTAGTTTTTAACTATTTTAATAATTATTTTAACTAAAAAAAACAGTCCCCACCCAACCAACCACCCTCTCTCTCCCTAACCAGTTGCCAGTGCCCAAACCCATCCCCCATCGGCCGACCCCACGCCGGCGCCCACTTGTAGACAACCGATTGTGTCTCCCCAAAAACCAAACCCAGTGATGAGTATCTTTCACGTCTTTGATTATCGAAGTCTCGTGAAGTCTCCTTAAACCTTGACCATATTCTTAACCCAAAATCATTCATTTCGTGTCCTTAAAAATCATTCATTTCGTGTCCAACTCACAAAAACAACCAAACCAGTATATTTTGGTCCATAATCCTGGTCAAATTATTGTTTAGTTGGATGGGGCTTGGAAAGAGCTTCCCAATAATATATTATAAGCCCAAATCTGAATTATAACGAATAAGTTATGGCCAAAATACTAAACCAAGCCCGAACTAAGTCTTACCTGCAACCCAATAATCATGTAAAGGGTCCCAATACCTTAATCTAATCCTAAACCAATTATGATTCATTAAAACTTCTAGAAGTCTCTAAAAGGTTCTAATATATCCTTTTCGAAAGATAAAGATCAAAGAGTTTGAAATTGAATGAAAACTCCTCTATTTGAAAGTCCTTGTTCTATTCAAATTAAAAAACGTTAAGCTATGATTTTTGTTCCACATAATTTTTATCTAAATCTTAAATGGTTGGATAGCCCTTGAAATTATCTTTCCAATGATATATTATAATCCCAATTCCGAGCTATAACGAAAAAGATATGATTAAAATACCAAACTCTATCCAAAACTGACACTGTTCCACTATTTCTACCACATCTTTCATTCTACAAAAGATATTAACTGATTTTAATTGGGTTAAAAATTAGAATTCAAGAAATTTCCAACGATATATTATTTATCTTATTCTGATTTCTGTATCAAAAGTTATGATAAAAACAAAAAACCGCAAAATTGCAGGATCATCGCGCCGCGATAGACCTGTCGTGCCGCCATGGAACCTATTTTACTTTGATTTGATTTCTGACTCTTTTCTGATCATTCGACCCTCTTTTTTTTTTTCCTTATAAATAGAGGTTGTTTCACCCCATTTTCAATCATCAACAAGCTTGATCACCAACAATCATCATCAAATCCCTTCTCTAATTCTTTTTCTCTTTCTTGATTCTTTTCTAAGCTTAGCCTAAACACGTCCTAACATACATCCTAGTTGATGGTTCTGAGGGTTTGGTCCCAAATCTATATTTCAATTCTTATTTGATTTATTTATTTGATTTAATCTTTCTTGAAATTACTAACATGTGTATTATTTTGATAGAAAGAGGTACGAGATATCAAAGTAAGTAATTTGATTATTTAATTATTTTTTTGATATAGAAATCATGTTAGGATGTCTTTATGATTCCTAGTATTATGTTTAGGATGTTAATTAATATTTCTAATATCATGTTTAGGCTAAAGCTTTGATCTTGATTATTAGTGACATGTTAGGGTTTGTTATTAATCCGTTTAGTATCATGCCTAAGATCTTACTAACGATGTTTTGATAATGTTATTATGGTGATGATTGTTGTGTCAATTATTATATGTTGCTTGATTGTTATTGCTTGATCATGCCCTTTCTTGAAGGTTTAAAGGGAATTTGTACTTGAAATCACGCCTAATAAGATAATTAATAATTTGATTTAGGCTTAATATGATTTTAATTCAAGTGATCGCCAATAATAGATTTGATTGTGCATTAATAATCAACCAACGTAGATTAAATATGCTTAGTATTAACTTGTGTATGTATGTTGATTGGAAAGCGCGCATGAATATCATAAGAATTAAGCAGAGGCTGATTTAGGGTGGGTTCAATGTCTTTTAGGTTGGATTCGTACCATCATCCCCGAATATCCAGTCATGGTTCCGGACCACTATGGAGTTAGCTATCTCCGTGATCGTGAATGGAGTGTAACCTTTGCATCTGTGAACGGTTTACAAGTTCCTAAAACTTGTTGACGACTCTTCTATTTCTAGCTTCCTTTCCTTGGAGCGCCGCCATGCTTAAAAGCATGAACACAGTGGGGCTTAAAAGGTTTAGTTTGAAAAATTCCCTACAGTTTTTGGCAACTCCATTGGGGAGGATTTCTAATTTTGATTCCTAAAATTTATTTTGGCAATTGATTTAGAATGAGTGGATGAGACTTGAAAGATTCTAGATATTCATGTGCATAATTTTGATTAACATTGTGGCATAAGCACAAAAAGTTTCGCATTGGAAAGACCATCCGTAATGTGTCAAAAACATAGGATTTTTACACGTAGGAAAAGCTGGAAATATCTTTCACAACTAAAATCGAATAAACACTACGAAAAATCGAAAAAACGTCGAACATAGAAAACTGCCGTAAAGCGTTGGAACTGTCGCGAGATGACAGAGTTTATTGCCATACGACAGCTTTATCGCGACGCGATAGAGTTGTCGCTGCGCGACAACCTTTGTTTTCTCGCGCCAAATTCTCGCGACATTGCACCAGTATCCTTTCTTCTTGTTTTGTTCGGTTCTAATACTGTTTTGCCGATTTTACTTCTTGATTGAGTATTTCCGACTTTTTTGAACCCATATGCGTTCTACATATGGTCTTAGCCCCTGGGAATTCACGCTCCATCCACCATAATGAACGCTCCATGCAACAATGGGTGCATCCGAGTTTGTGAATTCTCCAAACCATGGAAGCAAGTTTTACTTGCGGGGTCCCATCCATCGTGTCAACCCTTCTAAGGTAAGACTTCCGTGCGATGTATCCGGACTTATAACTATGGACCCTCTTTGAAACCATAATCATTGCCTTTAGAGAACTAGAGCCTTGGTTAGGTTGCAAACCCATTGCATCATATTGTGACTACTTGACTACTTGTGCATCTCTTACTTGTGCATACTTTATTTGTGATTAAACTAACCTTTTGTGTTGACTTGTTTCTTGTAATAAAGTCTTAACAAACTAACCAAGGACTAAAAAGGACTTTGCTTAATTAATTGGTTAATTAATTCGAACCTATAAAGTATAAACATACTCGACCTAGCAGTCCATAGGCTTAATCCTTCGAAAGGATCACCGAAAAACAAACTAGATTGACGTTCCATTATTGGTGCAAAATTTAGTCTGTACCGCAGAACGTCAGGTCCATTGCGCCGCGGCAGTCTTGTCGCGCCGCGATGGAACAACGTTCCGTGACAGTTCCATCGCCACGCGATGGGTGGGTTTTTTTTCCTTTTCGAGTCTTCGTGTCGAGTCTAATTTCGATAATTAATTGGTAATCAAACAAAGTCTTAACTTAGTCTTTGCTTGAGTTTGATCACATACTTAGTCCCATGGTCATCACAAGAGTCTTGAACATATCACGTACACTCACTAGTCTTTGCACACACTTTGTACATACTTTTTTCGCACCATGGCCATGTCTTAAGTCCAAGCACGAGTCGTCCTTTCCGTCATCTGAGTTGAGGGTCCATTATATTCCTGGATTTTTCCATATCATTCCACAAATAAATTCTTTTCCTTTACATCACTTTCCATACGTAACATACTTTATACCTTCCTTCTTAAATACTTTCCACATTCTCTTCTTTTCATGCTTTCCCATACATATCATTCCCCTCATACACTATGATTTTTTTTCCATTGATGCATGTTGAATCAAGTTCGAGCCATGTGATTGACAAAGATAAGACACAAAACGCGAGGCGATATTCAACTACAACATTTCATGATTCCTTTCTTATTTTTGATTTCTCCTTCCCCAATAAGTCTAGCATAGGCACCCTTCATCTTCCTTAGATTTATTTCATAAGTTTGGTTTTATTTTTTCCTTCTCCATTTTCAATAAAATGAGCATTTTATTTCTTTGCATATGATCATTATATTGCATTTTACTTATTAAAAAAATAATAAAAAATTTCCACACAGAGCTAAACACAAGGTATACCAATGATTTGAGGCACCCTTTGTAGCCACATCATATCACCTTTACCCTTTCAAATACCCAATCTTTTGATAAACCACTTTAATACTCGTTTAACGATTGATCTTTCTTTTTTCAACCCATATCTACCTAACCTTGGGATGGAATGGGGTGCAACTTATGTAATTTTCAAAGCCAAAGAGAAAGCTTGAGTGATTTTCCCAAAATTTCAAAAGTTCAAAAAGAAAAAAAAAATAAATAAATAAAAGTGTGCAAAAGGGCAAGTATTCCAATGTCTTTGATATGAACATGTCTCGGATTGCGTTTCTTATCGAGTGATCGGCACCGTGCCTGAGAAACATGAATGCCAAGTGAGTGATAGACCTCATGATCGGGATTGCCCACACTTATCCAAAAGAAAGAGTAAAAAACAAATCTCAAATGCAAAAACAGAAAAAGAGTTTAAAAATGAGAAACCTCAAGCATACAAATACCAAGATTCAAATGCAAGGTTGCACACCTTGGGGGCTTATTTTGGGTCTTGAGCCTTTATCCCTTCTTCTCCAAACTTTATCTTAACCCCATTACAACCCTTGAAAGACCTTCTTGAGGTATACAAACACTTGTGCGAGGTTCGGCTAGAGCTACGTTCGGCCTGATTTCTAACAGATACGTAGGCAACCTCACACGGGGGTGTGGCCGTACACTAGTATAAAAAATGAATTACGCAGCGCACTTTTCGCACTGGTTCTTGAAAACCGGTGGGAAAAAAAATGGGCGGGATTGGGGAAAATACTTTTTGCACCGGTTCTTAATAAACCGGTGCGAAATCATCTTTTTCGCACCGGTTTAAATCGGTGCCAATTGCGAAATATTAAAAAAAAAAGAAAAAAAATAAGGGTGGAAGGGATTTCGCACTGGTTCGGTTTGAACCGGTGCGAAATCTCTAACCTAACCGGTGCGAAATCTATTGTAAAAAAAAAAAAAAAAAACCGGGTGTGCCTCTAAATACGTACTATTTCTTTCTCTGTCTTCTTTCTTTCTCTTTCCTCCATCTCTTTCCCTTTCCTTTTCTCTCTCCTTCGATCTCCTTCTCCACCGGCGGCGGCCACCTTCCCCCTCTAAATATATACTCTCGCTTTCTCTTTCTAGATCAATCGTTTTTAGAGTGAGTCTTTTTGGATTTTCGAATTTTCTGGGTCGGTGTTTTCGGGTGAGTGTTCAGTATTTCGGGTGGTTGGAGTGAGTTTCGGTGGTTAAGGTTTAGTTTCAAGCAGACGGCGCCTTCTAATCCGTGTATCCCATTGAAGAGGCAGCTTTTGAGGTAACTTGTTGTTTGAATCTGATTCATTTTAATTGTCAATGCGGTAAGTTTAGGGTTCGAAATCTCAACTATTTTTGATGTTTGAATCAAATTTCCCTCTGAATTTTCGACCCTAATTTGTAATTGAATCAAATATCCCTTAAAATATGTTATTTTTCAGGCATAATTTGATAATAGAATCAAATAACCCTAAAAATATGTGCTTTTTCGTATTTTGATTGAATCAAATGGGATTTTGTTGAATTTTGATTTGATTTGCATGTGAATAGTTTACCATGCTTTTGATTGCAATGATTGCTTCCTGTCATGTTATGGATTGTTAATGATTGCTTACTGTCATTTGAATAAAAAATTAAGAAAAATTGTTGGTGAAATTCAATGAATTTGTGTATGAATTTCAAATACTCCGATGGAGATGCTTTTTCAAGTATAAGTTAGCTTTTGTTATTTTTTTATTTGATATCTTGGCAATCCAGAACTTGGAAACTAAAATTGTATTCCAAATTCCAATTGTGTTTTGGGTGTTTCCCAGTTAGCTTTGTCCTTAAACAAGGAAAGTTATGCTAAATTATTCTTAAATTTCTGAAAATCATTAGAGATTGGGGTTATTCTATTTCTATATTCCTTTGGTTTTGTAATTCCATTCCAAACTGTAAGAGAAGTATTATTTCATGCACCTCAGGTTCAATCACTACTTGAGGTTTTCCCCAATCGATTAACAGGTGATATTTTGGGACAACTTCACACTAGCAAGCAAACTTTGGTATGTCTTGTCATTTTTTCAACAAACACGCAATAGTATTGTGATTTTAGTGGTAAACAACCTGAAATCTATTCCTAAATTTGTCAAGGTCGAGTTGGGATCTCGAGCTGGGGATCTCAGGCAGATGCTACTTGATCTATTTGCATTCATAAGATAGTATGCACATGAAAATATTCTAAATTTGCAGTTATTTATATTGTATGCATTGCATGATGGCTATGCTATGATGTCAATTTGGGATTTATTATTTCATTTTTTCATTATTAATTTATTTATATATTTATGTATATTATATAATTATTTTTTTTTGGGGTTAAAAAATTGGTCCATTAAAAAATTGGTCCATTAACCAGTTGAGATGTGTACAATTGCCATGCTTTGTTTGCTACCAATGGTCAGCCTATAGTTACCTTGTGCTCAGTATTGGGAAGATTTGGACTTGACTGACCACAATTATCTGATGCTCTATTGAGAATTGCAGGTGAATCCTGATCTTGACATGGAGTTAAAGCATCTTGCACAACCACGACCCTACCAGGAAAAGAGTCTCAGTAAAATGTTTGGGAATGGTAAAGCCATTGTGGTTTGTGTGATTTATGTTTCTTGGTTTCTGTTTTCCTTTGACGTAGGTTTGAGGCGAATGAGTAACGCTTTTGATGCTTGACACAAGTTTAACAATGTTGACATTACTAAATATATATGGGTCAACTTATCGACATTCTTATGAGATTCTCGTATAGTATTTCAGAACTAGTCTTTTACTAAGCTATTATTGGTGTATTGGATAAGGTTGCATACCTCTTAGCACTAGCAACAAGAGCATCCATGGTGGCAATTGTTGCTGCTCCACTGGGGCTTTTGATATCCTATTCCTATGTCTAAGATCTGCATGATACTAGTTAATATTTGTACTTCTACTAGTCATCTCCCCTGTTACCCCCCTCAAGTTTTTTTTTCCTTAAATTTATATGTGTTGTTTTCAGTGTGAATTAACTTTGACGGTTGACATGATCTGCTTGAAAAATTTGGCAATGAGGAGTAAAAGGCCGGACTTACGGCTACCCTCAACTATGAGCTGGTAGTAGGTTGATGATAAATTCCAAGTAAAGGTTACTCTGATCCTAGCTTGTATGAAAATATCTGTTCAATTTTTCTACATCACCACACGCATGATTATAAGAATTTGCTACTTTTTGCGTTGTTTTAGCATGTAATTAAAAAACTCTTGTTTTTTAACAGATTGGTTTTGTTCATTGAGAATTGTAGATGAGTCACATAATATCTGTGGACTTTTAGTTAATATCTTTGCTGAAACTTAAGAGAAGCTTCCTCAGGTTAAGGCATCGGGAGATATCATCCAACTTTCCAAAGTTTTGAACTTGCAGACTCTTTCTCCATGGAGCTTCTATTTCGACTCATTTCGTTTTCTGGTGACTGTAGTCTCTATTTATAAAACATCTACCGTTATTGTGATGAAGTAAATTTGGTCAGATTTACAATGTGCTCTTAGTAATTGACTGTGTCTCTTTTTTTTTCTTTTTTTCCCTTTCCCATTTTCGTGTACATTTTTAACCTTGTAAAGGTGGAAAGATCTCCTTGTTTTACTTCAATTTGATTGGACTTAAGAAATACTTTGTCACTATATTTATTAATCAAGGTGGTGTCAGGAAGCTCAATTTTTATTGTCATCATTTTGTTTAAATATATTTTGGAACTATATAATCTTAAAATTTTTGTTTCTTATTCACATCTTCTTGACTGATGAAGAGCTTCACCCTTTATCTTCCTCGTCTTAGCTTATGTCTCAATAGCAACCAGTTAATTAAGGAACATCAAGTGAGTTGTAAATTGATTTTCCCAGTTAAATTTGCCATTTTTCACTTTTTTTCCCCCTGTTTTTCCTTATTTCTCGTTTTGTCTTCCTTTTCCTGTTCGGTTTCTTTTACTATGTGTTGACTGTTTTCTTAAGCTGTTAATACCCTAAATTATGTTATGCATATTTTTGCAGATGAAAACTCATAATAAGGAAACCTATGCCCTTTTCAACAAAAAACTCTCTTCATTTGCGCTCTACGAAGGGAAAAATGGTGAAAACTATAATCCCTATCAAGTCTCATCTATGTTTCGGCCAAGACACCAAGACACGACGTTTGTGGATGGATTAAGAAAATGGGTAGATAGTTTCCAGCTTGATTCAGGTTGAGTTCTGGCAATCTAGCTACTGTTAAGTACCAATAGGCCACTTTTTGGTTGAATGTTGCACTTTTATTGTTTTTCTCTTAAATGTTTAGCTCCGCTATCTGGTCTCAAACTGATTTTTAGAAATCACATAAGTATATATGACCCCCTTGTATGTAAGAGTTGACCAGACTATGTTTATTAAGTTGCAAAGAATTTCGTGTTAGAGATTTATTATTGTAAATGTATTTTTCTTGAGATAAATGGAAGAGTAATTGTTACTGTTAGTGATTTCAATTTTTTTATGTGATCGAGACAATTTTTAAGGCTTCCATGATCAATGTTTTTGTTAGGGTTTCTTTCCCATTTCTCAAAATAATTTGTCCTCGTATAAGTTAGTGTATAATTTGCTACCTTTTTTGTTCACACACCAAATACCCATTTTACCCCTTTAGACATTTGATAATAACTATTACCCCACTTTTCTTCTCATTTGTTTGTTGTTAAATGGGAATTTTTGGGATCGCCCACCTTTAACTTCCTTTCTTAAATCTTGTGCCCAAAGCAAATGCTGCAATTTTTTGGGAAGAAGTATTAAAAATCTAAACCACAGCCCCACTAGGCCACTAGTTCAGGTTGATGGCATTTTTGTGGCTGATACAAGTAAACATCTCCTTACCTTCTCTTTTAGTGTGCTGTTTAAGCTGGTTTGTTAGTCAGTTTTGAAATCAGGATCTTTGCTGTGGTTTGTGCAAATTTTGTTGTGTTTTATGGGTTATCGTACAATGCAGAATTGTGTTTTTCTGTGCTGCGGGTTTTGTCTTTTTTTTGCTGCTGTCATGGTTTTCTGGTCAGGGTTTCAACTTGTTTGCCCTGTTCTGTGCTGGTGCCTGACTTGCTGTGTTTCTTTTTGGTGGTGTGTGTCTGAGCTTCTGGCTTTTTGTTTGCTGTCTGCTGTTTGCTGCCTGCTAGTCTGTTGTTCTGCCTGCTGTCTGCTGTTGTGGTTGCGCTGCTGTGTTCAGTGCTGCTTTGCTGACAAGTTGCTGTATGTTTGTGCTGTTGTTGCACTGTTGTGCTGTTGGTCTGCTGGTTTTGACAGCTCGTGCTGGGTCTGGTGCTGGCTGCCTAGCCGTGGTGTAGCTTCTGGTTGCTGTTTTGCTTGTAGCTGCTGCTGGGGTTGCTGGTCGTGGTGTGGCTGTGCTGTCTCATTCTTTGTTGCAGGCTTGGGGTCAGTGGGAGCTGCTGCAGTCTGCTGTTTTTTTTGTCTTAGTTTTTATTCTATTTATCAAAGATGCAGTGCTCTTTATCAGATGTATGACACAAATATTGAAGAAAATATATGTGTTTTATGTATATTATGATTATATATAAGTATTTGTACAATTTAAGTGAAAAAAATGCAAAAAAAAAAAAAAAAAAAAATATGGGGCACTTTTGGCACCGGTTTTGGAAAAAAACCAGTGCTAAAAGTTTTTTTTAAATATTTTTGGAGACTTTTGGCACCGGTTCTAAGACAAAATCGGTGCGAAAAGTTTAGTTTTTGGCACCGGTTCTCCCCCAGAACCGGTGTGAAATGTATGGGGTTTTAGCACCCCCCAAATCCCCACCGGTTCAAAACCGGTGCTAAATGGAGGGTTTGAACCGGTGGGGATTACTTATTTTCACCTAGTGGTAATAAAAATGCATTCATTCATTTACATTCGTGCATAAGCATATCGAGGGATCTCCAATGCTCATTCTTATCCATTTAGAGCTAGACTTGGGGGCTTGATCCCTACATCATTAGCCTATCCAGCCTAAGAGTCACCATTTGACTCTTCTCAAAATATTTTTCCACGCCCTTAGCCTTTGCAGCTTAACCTTAGTGTCACTTTCACACACATCACATATACATAGCGAAATAATCTTTCCCTTAGGAACCCTTTGTCATGAAATCTTGATATAGCCTTAAAGCACGCCTTGTCATCTTCAAATCACTCATTATCATAATCATCATTGAATCACAAAGTATGAATTACTTAGCCTCCACGCCTAAGTTATCCAAGTACTTTCATTATCGAATCATCAAACTTTGCACCATGAGATACAACATCAACGCATACACTTGATTAAGCTCATTCAACATGCACCATCGCTTGACTCATTCTTTTCATCTTGAGGAAGTTCAACAACTTCATCTTTCACGTACACTTTACCTCTTTTCCTTTTCACATCTTTCTTTTCGGGAGAAAGTCGGTACCCTCCACAAAAATGACGGAAAACTTTTGCTTTTTGCTTTTCTGCATTTTGGAGTTGCATAAGCACAATCACAACACAATCATCACATTGAGTTGAGTTTACACACACGAGTCGTACGCATGACATACACATCAAGTCATATCACATCGAGTTGAGTCTGCACACACGTGTCAAAGCACATCGAGTCGATTTGAGCACATTGAGTCACAAAATGAGTCGAGTACACCAAGCCTTGAGTTACCCTCAAGCCAACCAACCACAATAAGTCAAGTACACTTAGTCTTGGGTTAACCCCAAGAAAACCACAAGCAAAGTCCTGTGACAATGTTTGATTTACAGGATACACCTATTTATCGAAGCTTTTGTTTGGAGACAATCGAACAATCGCACCATTCATCGAAGCTTCTGTTCGCAGCCAATCGAACACCCACACCAATTCATTGAGGCTTCTATTCGCAGCCACTCGAACATTCTCACCATCTATCGATCAAAGCTCTTTTGTTCAGAGACGGGAGGACATTCCATTCAAAGCTCTTTTGCTCAAAGACGCGTGGGCATTCCTTTCAAGTTCTTTTGTTCAGAGACGCGTGGACATATTATTCAAAGCTCTTTTGTTCAGAGACGCGTGGACATTTCATTCAAGCTCTTTTGTTCAGAGACGCGTGGACATTCCTTTCAAGCTCTTTTGTTCAGAGACGAGTGAACATTTCATCCAAAGCTCTTTTGTTCAGAGATGCGTGGACAATCCCTTCCAAAGCTCCCTTGTTCAGAGACGGGTGAACATTTCATCAAAGCTCTTTTGTTCAGAGACGCGTGAACATTCTTCCAAATCTCTTTTGTTCGGAGACGCGTGAACATTCCTCTAAAGCTCTTTTGTTCAGAGACGAGGGGACATTTCATCCAAAAGCTCCCTTGTTCGGAGACGAGTGAAAATTCCTCCAAACCTCTTTTGTTCAGAGACGAGTGGACATCAACAGCGCTCCTTGAGAATGTGGAGGTTGTCAAACTAAACAAATTTGATCCGATGAGATGTCACCTAGGTCGATGAGATGTCACCTAGAGACGTGTCCTCGGTAAGCCCTGATACTCGTTTCTTTCCCACATCTCCTTTATTTGTAGTACTGACGCTTTCTGCAGGTATCGGCGTTAAAAAGGATGATTTAGGATCGCAAAACGTTCTGAATCATTCTCCGTCCCTATCGATCTACTTTGACTTTTGTTTTTGAAACTTACGTTTCTCCAAACTCAGTCAAAGTGGGGGTTTCTGTAGACACCTGGTTGTGTCTCCCCAAAAACCAAACCCAGTGATGAGTATCTTTCACGTCTTTGATTATCGAGTTAGGTAAAGAGTTGAAAAGTCTCGTAAATTCTCCTTTAAACTTGACCATATTCTTAACCATACCTTAAATATTTTTACCCAAAATCATTCATTTCGAATCTTTAAATCCAAAATAATTCATTTCGTGTCCAACTCACAAAAACGTCGAAAACAGTTTATTTATGGTCCATAATCATCGTCCTATTATTGTTTAGTTGGATGGAGATTGGAAAGAGCTTTCCAACAATATATTATAAGCCCAAATCCAACTTATAACGAATAAGTTATGGCCAAAATACTAAACCAAGCCCGAACCAAGTCTTATCTGCGACCCAATGATCATGTGGAGGGTCCAAATACCTTAATCCTAATCCTAAACAATTAGGATTAATTAGGAACTTCAAGAAGTCTCTAGAAGGTTTCAATCTATCCATTCCGGAAGATAAAGATCAAAGAGTTTGAAAATGAATAAAACTCCTCTTTTTGAAAGTCCTTGTTCCATTCGAATTCAAAAACATTCAGATATGATTTTCGTGCCTCATAATTTTTACCCAAATATTAGATGGTTGGATAGCCCTTGAAATTAAATTTCCAATTATATATCATAATCCCAATTCCAAGTTATAAAGAAAAAGATATGGATTAAAATACCAAACTCTATCCAAAACTGACACTGTTTCACTATTTCGACCATATCTTTTATTCTAAAAAATATATCAACCTGATTCTAATTGGGATGGAAAGTAAACTTCAAGATCTTTCCAAAGATATATTATTTAACTTATTCCAATTACTGTATCAAAAGTTATGATAAAAAAAAATCGCAAAATTGCAGGATCATCGCGCTGCGATGGAACCTGTTTTACTTTGATCTGATTTCTGACTCTTTTCTGATCCTTCGAACCTCTTTTTTTTCCCTTATAAACAGAGGTTGTTTCACCCCATTTTCAATCATCAAAAAGCTTGATCACCAACAATCATCATCAAATCCCTTCTCTAATTCTTTCTCTCTCTCTTGATTCTTTTCTTAGCCTAGCCTAAACACGTCCTAACATACATCTTGGTTGATATTTATGAAGGTTTGGTCCCAAATCTATATTTCAATTATTATTTGATTTATTTATTTGATTTAATCTTTCTTGAAATTACTAACGTGTGTATTATTTTGATAGAAAGAGGTACGAGGCATCAAACTAAGTAATTTGATTATTTAATGATTTTTTGATATAGAAATCATGTTAGGATGTCTTTATGATTTCTAGTATCATGTTTAGGGTGTTAATTTAATAATTCTAATATCATGTTGATTTCTAGTATCATGTTTAGGCTAAAGCTTTTATCTTGATTATTAGTGACATGCTAGGTTTGTTATTAATCCGTTTAGTATCATGCCTAAGATCTTACTAACGTTGTTTTGATGTTATTATTATGATGGTGATTGTTGTGTCAATTAATTAAATGTTGCTTGATTGTTATTGCTTGATCATGCCCCGTCTTGCAGGTTTAAAGAGAATTTGTACTTGAAATCACGCCTAATAAGATAATTAATAATTTGATTTAGGCTTAATATGATTTTAATTCAAGTGATCGCCAATAACAGATTTGATTGTGCATTAATAATCAACCAACGTATATTAAATAAGCTTAGGATTAACTTGATGTATGTATGTTGATCGAAAAGCGCACATGAATATCATAAGACTTAAGTAGAGGCCGATTTAGGGCGAGTTCAATCATAAGAATTAAGGCTAGTTTCCGACGGAATTTCCGGCGGATTTTTTTTTCTGTCGGCGCTGTTTTTGCCTTTTATCGAGAGTCCGTCGTAATTTTCCGACGGAAAAGATTCCGTCGGAATATACCTCATCCGACGGAATTTTCCGTCACAAAAAATAACTCTTCCGACGGAACATTCCGTCGGAATCTACTACCTTTCTGTCGAAAAAGTTAATAAAAAAAAGCCCCACCTACTACCAGCCCACACCACCAGCCCACCCCCTGCCCCCCTACCCACCCATACCCCTACCAGCCCACCCCCTACCCTCAACCTCAGACCACCACCGCCATTATCCCCACACCAGACCACCGAAACCCCCACAGCCCAGATCCACCCACAAAACCCCCACAATCCAGATCCCCACCCACGAAAGCCCCCTAACCCACTCCTACCAAAACCCACCCACACCAAACCGAAACCACCCAGCACCAAACTCACACCAGCCCCCACCCCACCACCACCATTCCAGAAATTCCGTCAAAAATGAAAAAAACCCAAAAAAAAAAGGAAAATCAACCCTAAAAAACCGAAAATTAACCCCAAAAATACGAAAATTAGCACAACATAATAAAAATATACCACAAAAAAAAAATCAAAAAATACCACAAAAAAAAATCAAAACCAGTAGATCTACATTATAATCAGAATTTCATTAAATTTTTTTTAAAAAAACGATAATTAACCAACGAAAATTAAAAGAAATATATAAATATATAATTGTATAATAAATATTATAAACTAACATTACAATTCCATACAAAATTAACTAGATCTACACTAAACCTAAATTAGTAGATCTAAAAAACAAAAACCTTGAGACTGGTGGCTCGAGACGGTGCTTGACGGTGGACGATGGTGCTTGACGCGACGGCTTCCCGGTGAATACGGAGTAGGTGACACGTGGCTGGTTGTTGCGGCTATGCGTGGTTGTTGATGTTGTTGTTGAGAGGAGAGAGAAAGAGAAAGGGGAAAAAGGAGGAGTAGTGTGGGCTGCATAGTGGTGGTGTGAGAAGGAGAAGGAGAAGGAGAAGGGAGGAGAAGTGAGAAGGAGAAGAGAAA